TAGCTTCTAAGCACCCTTGTTTTTGAGTATCGCTGCTGGGTCCTGCTTTCCTCACCCAACCCATCAGAATTGATCCCTTTCAACTTGACTGAGGCATCACTTTTCATATCTCCTTTTCTATTCATTGGTTGCTTCAAGGTCCTATAGCTAAGGAATGGCAGAGCAGAGAGTCAGGCCAAAGGTAGAATTCTTTTTACCATAGCCAGGGGATAAAGTGCACCTCACACATTGATTAATGCTTTGTGAACACGCTAGAGCCCCACATATTGTGTTACTCTGATACCTGTATGTGGCTGAACTCAAATGAGGAGCTTTCCTGAGCCCAGGTCCTCATGCTAAGCGTGTCCTTGGACTGTTCATATTAGCAACCGTGTGACTTCATCTGTACATGCCAGAAGTCCAAGCACTCAGGAGTAAGTTTATGTTGACTGCTTCATTTTCCTTGAGAGTCTAATGGGTTTAGCCATCACCACGATCCATGAACAAGTCCTCATCGTTCTTATTTGTGTCAGTGAGCCCGTCCCCTGAACACCTAACTGGAGGGGAAGCAAGTTGAAGTTAGGGTACCCTCACACTGAAGGCTCTCCTTAGGTGACGATAAACTGATCTTAAGCTTAAATCTGGATATGACTTTAGGAGGCAGCATGGCCTGGCCCAGTGTTTTTGTTTATCAGGCTGGGATATGAACTCCTAAAGGGTATCAGAGAGGGCTGGGGGCAGTACGGGAGGTGGGGGAAGGATCAAAGCCACACAAGGGCTTCTGGAAAATTTATAAAGTTACATTTGAACAAATCAGGCTGTATTAGGAAGGATAATGCAAATATTATATGAATTATTAAAATACAATGTGAGACTGTGAAAAAATTGTTATGTTCACCATTGTCTTCGTTGAGCTTTACCCAGATCTCTGGGGCTACCTGTGTCACCCTTGTCTCTGCTCCTTTGTGTAAATCTGAGCCACATGGCAGAAAAATATTGTCTATGAACTTAGAAAAAAGTTACAATTTTCACTCACTCACTAGCTCTGTGGCCGTGAACAAGCGGTTTCTCCCTTCTGAGCCTCCATTTCCTCGTCTGGAAAACAGGTGACAATCCAAATCCTGTTTTAGGAATGCTGGATGAATCCAGCAAGCCCACTTGTTGGAGTCCCGAGTACAGGAAGTGCAGGTTTCCATGTGAAAGCTTGCACTTGGATGAACGCTGCTCAGGTCACACTTGGAGAAAGGGCTGGATGCCTGCCTCAGTGCCCCAAAGTGCCTGCTATTATCGTCTGAAATTTTAAAGACCTTAGCTGGCTCAAGGACCTCACCCCAGAAAGGATGAAAGAATACAATGTCAGGATGCACCCTAAAACTCTCTAAGGCCATACACGAGGGGCACCTCCTGATTTCTTATTAATTCATTGAATCTTATCCAGACAAGGTCCCTCCTAGGAGATGAAGGACACAGACGGCTCTGTGCCAGAAGAGGGCATTCTTTGGCCCTAGGAAAAAAGACTGTAGTTGCCATTGAGGAAATACAGACCATATGAATACTATTTTCCTCGACTGCAGAAGAGGGTAAGCCCACCCAGTAACTGGAGGGGGTGGCAGGCTGCCCCAGGGGAGATGATGTTTGTGCAGCTTATCTCCCTGAACAAGAGAACAAGCCCAAATTCTGGGGAGCAGTGCTCCTCCTCAGTCACGCTCTTCCATTTGTTGCCATGCAGGTCTTTGGGCTGTCACCCCAACTCTGAGGCTCAGCGTCTTATAGAAACTAACCCAAGGTGTGCTCACTGTCCTGCCTTTCTGGGAGGGTGGAAAATTCTTGAAGGATAATTGGGAAATGAGCTGAAGGCATCACTGTCCTTTGCTGGACTCCCCATCATGACCTGAGATCTTTAAGTTTCCATCTGCCAAACATCACACATTTAAATTCATACCATTTGAAATCAGAAGAATTCACTGTCATATTAACCATCAATTCATACTATTTGCAATTGTAGAACTCACTGTCATATTAACCTGCCAGCTGTTTCACTCCTATCGAAGCAGAATAAATCCCAGAAAGTGTGTTAACAAGCCCCTCCCTATCTTTTCCAGGTGAGTAAACATCTCAGAAAACAGCATACAGCCGCCTGACAGACTGACCGACTGTGGTACAGGCTCTTCGGTGGCAGGGGGATGGGCAGCTGGGGCTGTAATCAGGATCTGAAGGGAGTCAGCAGGGCCAGTGGTGGCTGGGTCCCGGGGACCTGCTCAAACACACCTGGGAAGAGGCTCATCAAAAGGAGGCGAGGGAGTCATGGGGTTCCTTTGCCTTCCTTTGCTTTGAGATGCTTGCTTTGAACCTCCAAAGTAACAGCCCTTCCTTGATCGAGTCTGGTGTCCACAGACTTGCAGACAGCTCCAGAGCCCACCCCAATGGGAACGGCTTCCATGGTTCCCTTTCATGTTCCCATCCCTGTGGGCCCAGCAGCCTAAGTCTGTGACCCCGCTTCGCAGTAGAGCAGACACTCAGGGTTTCTCACAGAAGCCGAGTCTCCTGATCCTCTGCATATTGCATCCCAGCAACAAAATAATGAGCAGACAGACAAATAGCTGTGATATTACAAAGCGCAGGCTTAAGGGAATGTGTTCACAGTGTCTAATGAAAGGAGCAGAGGCGGTTCCCCTGGCCCCACGGGGAGTCTTCTCCAGCACAAAGCTCTGCCGGCTCTTGCGTTGCCTCCTGGGCAAAGTCCACACACCTTGGCTGGACCTTCATCTCCCAACCCTGGCTCATGTCCTGCCAACACCCCTGCCAGTCTGTCCTCAAGCTGAGTTGACCAGCACCCTCCTGCCCTCTCCACTGTGCCATTTCTCGTTGTCATTGAGCCTGCTGGTCTCTTGGCCTGAATCTCGTATTCTTCCTTTTACTACTTGATAAGACCCAGCTGGAATGGGTATCATCATCTCTTCAAAGCCTTAGGCAGAGTTATCCTCTCTTACCTCTCAGCTCGTATATAAGACTCATATGCCCACCAGTGTTACTCCGAGATGGTCCTTCAATCTTTGTCTGTCTGTCTTAGAAGACAGTGCATTCTTGTGGGGCAAACAGAGCCTTCCTCCATTCTGTGATCCCCGTGCTCTGTCTGGGGCTAGACAAACCTCCAAGAGGGAGCTGCCTGGATTCCAGGCCTGAACCTGCTTGATAATTGTGCCGAGGCACAGGCTAAAGACCAAGGTAGAGCATGTCCATGGCTGGCAGATGCCACAGCCTGCGGGAACAGGGGCATGCTCTCATTGGCTAAGAAATCCGATGAGTCTAGCTCTCCTGGAGAGGGGGGAAACGAGTTACTGAAATACATCCAAGACTCTAGGCTTCCCAGAAGAACTGGCATCAAAAAGAAAAGAATTACATCTCCGCTGATGGCGTTCTTGGCTCAGTGGCCTCTGGCCTTATTTCCCTTGCATAAAACAATTGCCTGGCTGAGAAGAAGGAAGAAAACAACACGTAGAAGCCGCCTCCCCCTCAGCATCTGTCTTTAGGGATCCCAAAACATCACTGTTGAGGAAGCTACTTCAGTTTCCTCACTTGTCAAATGAAAATGGTAGTGAGTCTTTCGTTCTCGCGTGAAAGGTTCTGAGGATCATGCATGATGATGCCGAGAAACCAGGCATGATACATGGCACACATTAGGTGCTTTACATGGCACACAGTAGGTGCTTAACAAATAGTGTCATCCCCCCCACCCTTCATTTACTTCCCCGGGCTTTGAACAAGACCATGCCCCTCAGATGTGATCCCCTTGGCCTTTATTCAACGATAATGACTTTCTCCAAGATGGCACCTGGGTTGTTTTTTTTTTTAAGGGAGGAGTTTAAATTTGAAGAATAAAGCTGGAGCTGTACCCGCCCCAGGAATCAAGTCTAGTCTTCAGCCTAGCCTGTCTCCCTTGCCCTGGACTGTGCTGTTCCAAGATAGGACCTTGGAAGGAGGCTGCCAGGATGCATAACGGGCCCAAAAGACTTGTCTTCTTACACATTCAAACTAGCCTTCTTTTCTTTTTTCTTCATAAACATAAGAGACTATGATTTTAATTCCCCCAAAAGAAAGTTTCTTTTCACATACACTTTGGAACATAAGCACATGTTATGTTGTTCACCCCTCCCAAAGGAAACCATTACCCACGAGACACAGAGGTTACATCGTGTGGGGCAGCCAGATCCCGGCTCCAGGGAGGTGATCTCATTCTTTTTTTTTTTTTTACAAAGTGGAGCAGTGGCACTGCCTGCACTTCTACCTGCTCCCCTCTGACCACAAAACCCTCGGCCCCTTTATTAAAGAGTGCCGTGGGCACAGCTGGCTGGCCAGGGAGTGACAGAAGGTCAAGGCCCAGACTTGGGGAGGGTAGAGAATGGATAGTAGGCCAAGCCCATGCAGGGTGCGTGTGGGCTGTGGTGAGGAGGGGGCCTCTGCCGTGGCTAGGGAGCATCATGAGGCCATGCTGAGCTCTGCCAGCAGGGGTCTGGTACCAGTGGTTCCTGATGAAGATGACGTAGACAGTGCCCCCCCCCAGTGCCCCCAAGAGCCCCGTGACAGAATGGCGGTGTAGGACACAACTCCTGGACTCCTAAGGAGACAGACGTAGGACAAGGAGGCACTGTCGCGTCTTCTGTGTCCCAGCACCTGCACAGTCAGCTTGTCATGAGATCCACAAACCCAAAAACAAAAGCAAGAGGTCCAGGAACTGAGAATCCAGGGGCCTTGCTTGTGGGTGTTCTTCTTCCAGGGCCCATGGTTTTATTTAGTTGGGTGTCGAAGGAAAACTGGGGCTCTTAGAACAGCCTCTTCCACGGCTCCAGGAGACCCATTTAGAGGTGCATAGCTGGCGAGGGGGTATGGGGCCACCCAGTCTTCTCCTTGCAGTTGAAGCCAGGTGCCACCTCTCCGCCCCTGGCCCAGTCCCTGCCAGTCACAGAAAAGGGGACGTGGCCACAGCAGCCTCTGAACTCCAGCAGGTTCCCCATCCTGTTGAGCTAAAAGGAGCTTAAATATTCCAGTGCCACCTCGTATACAAATTTATACTGTTCCTAAGAGGGTGTAAGAGAGGAGGAGAGGCAGCGAGGAAGGAGAGGAGACGAGAGAGGGGGAGAGATGAAAAGGAACATGTGTTTAATTTAGAGATACTGATTTTGGAGAACTCTTTATCGACACCTGTGATATAAAGTCAACACGTAATTACGCATGTAATTATCCCTGTCTGGCCGGCCTCCCAAGTTCTGCCTGACGCCTGCTTCTTCCCAAGGCCTCTCAGATGTTCAGCGGGGACTGCCTCCTTTCTTTTAATTGTTTTGTGTATCAGCACTTCTCAAACGGAAATGCGACCGTCGTGAAGCAAGCAGTGATGATTTAAAAACGAGAGTTCTAACCTGATAAATGGGGCCTTGAAACTTTCAATTGCTAACATCCTTCCAGGTGTGGGCCATGCTTTGACCTCTGAGCCCATGGCTCCGTTTACAGACTCTCCTGGTACAGTTTGTCCCTTAGGACTGCCTCTACCTTTGCACTATATTTTACCATCTCTCCCATCTCTTTACCTTCCCATTCTTAGAGTCCTAGCCCAATGCTTTATGGTGTAAAAACTAGTAGATTGGAGTTGGTATAGGATTTATCAGATTGAGACCATAATTCTCACCCTGCCAATCCCGACACCCTTTCCCTAGCCCTGGATTAGTTACCTTTTCTTAAACACCAGTGACTGGAAGATAAAACAATGTAGGGTATAGGAATAGTATCTGTTTTGTCTGACAGGGAAGATCGTTGAGAGTGGAGGAAGCAGGGCATCTCTGAGCAGGTACCCAGAAAGGACCTGGATGCCAGGTCTTCGTAATAGCTGGTTCTGACTGCCCCTGGGTTCAGGGGGCTCTGGCCGGCCCCTGGCTCTGGCAGGCTAGTTCTCGGGACTCACCAGGGTCTCCACCATGTTGGATTTGTTGTTGCGCAGTGTTTTCACGATGTGGAACACGTCGATGATATTCTGCTGCTGGATCATCTCACACACGCTGCAGATGGCGCAGAAAGTTCCGCTGCGGCCGCCCCCGTTTCTGAACACACAGAGTAAGGAGATGGGGTGCATTTCTGGGTACACATGGACGACTCCTAAGATGCCTATGGAATCAGTTACAGTACTAACGAAATATTTTCTCCAATATTAACCCAAAATTTGTGGTTGTTATATGTCACCGAGTCACCTGCGATCCATAACAACCTTATGGACAGGAGCTCTGAAGCCTGCACTGTCCTGAGCCAGTCTCACTGACTCGGACACATCTACCCCCATTGTCGCAGTGACCGTATCAGTCTATCTCATCCAGGGTCTTCCTCTCCTGCACTGTCCCTCCACCCTTCCAAGCATGATGTTCTTCTTTTTTTTTTTTTTTTCCTATACTTATATTTTATTAATTTTCATAAACATTTACAGAGATTTTGGGCTTCCACTCATTCATTGTTGCACTATTTTCTCTCTACCCTCCTCCCAGTTTGTTCTTGTCCAAATGCCACAGTGCTTGTCAAAGCCAGTTCTGATTAATCTTCTTTGTCAGTGTGTCCTTTGCCATTCCCTATCACTCCTCCCTGAGAGAGACTTCACCCTGAGTCATAAGGAAAAGGGGATGGCGTATTCTCTTAGCTACTTCCTGCTGAAAAGGGACGCTGTGGGTTTCAGGGTGAAGATCGCATGATGTTCTTCTATAAAAGCCAGTCCCTCCTGGCCATGTGCCCCAAATTATGTGAGATGGAGTTTCAAAATCCTAGCCTCCAAGGAGAAATTTGGTTTTACTCTCTCCAAGACAAAGCTATAGAGAATGCACTTATTTGAAACGCCTCTTTGAACATTTTCAGAAGCTCTTAAGGTGGTCTGTCCTGTGTTCTCTCACAAGCCCTCCAGTTTAGGGAAGACATGGGTCCTAAAGCCACAGTAATAAGAGGTGGTGGCCTGGAAAATGTGCACGCTCTGCTCTGAGTTCCATCTGTGTTCTTGTTTGCTGTTACCTTGGGTGACTCATTTCTCCTGTTTGGGCCCTAATGTCCCCATTCATATAGTGAAGCTATCAGACCAGGTAACCTCAAAGAATTCACTTAGCTTGATGGCTTTCCATAGTTCTATGAGGCCCCTTAGAGCTTTTCTTGGCACATTGACCCAGAGTCTCAGGAAGGGTAGGTCTTAACATTTTTGACATAACTCCAGAGATACATAGCGCCTGCATGCTTGCGCAAAGGATGCTCTGGGTTCACGTACACATGTAATAAAGTACATGATGCCAGGGGAAGTTCCTACTAGTTAGTTCTTTCCCTCCTCAACTAAGGGCAACAATGGCAGAGCTATCTCTATTACACAGGGAGCAGCCAACCCAAGGGTGCATCATGCAATAACAGATTTCTATGTGTCCACCCACGTTTAAGCTGTAACTTTGTGATCTAGACGCCCCTTCTCTCTGCAGCACCGTAAATCATCTTTAAAGCCCAAGATTTTACGACCCACTGCCATTAAGTCACTTCTGACACGTAATAATGACAGAGCAAAATTGGCCTCTTGGGTTTCTAAAGCTGTAAATCTTTCTGGAAGCAGACGACCTACCTCATCATTCTCTCACAGAGCAGCTGGTGGATTTGAACTGCTGATCTTTTGGTTGGGAGCTGAATGCTCCACTGAACCACAGCATTATCAGGGCTCTCAAACCTTTAACAGAATGTTCTTCCAGGAATCGGCCTGATTCAGAACTCTTTAGGGAAGACATGGATGGTAAGAAATGTACTCCTGCCAATAGAGCTCTGGTGGCTTAGTGGTAATGTATTGCCCTGCCAATGCAGAGGTACGCAGTTTGAATCCACCACTTGCTTGGTGGGAGAAAGATCTCCTTTGTGATTTACTGCCTCTGAAAACCCACTGAAGAGTTGGTTCCGACTTAACAGTGCACAACGAGAACCTGCCAATGAATTGGGCTTGAAAATATAAGAAAGAGAGGGGGAAGGAAGGAGCCTCTCATAAGGAAGCTTCAGACTTTGTTACAGCGTGAATAACATCTCAGGACCTGATAGATGAGGTCTTGGAGGTGGGGACTGTCTCTCTGCTGGTGGCTGAAGGCATTTGAGTATGTGAGAGAGAGAGGCGAGGTGGAGGGAGCAGGGGTTAAGGTTAAACCAGCTCTCAATTTCTGGAGCATGTGCAGAGCCAGCTTGGCTTGGCTGAAGTCACCCCACAATCTCATTGGTGACACCTCAAAAAAACCCTTCTTTGGCCTCTGGTCTAAGAATTGGCTTCTGTGAGAAAGGCGGGGGGCTGCTGTTGGCGGTGACCCTCCAGCGGGCTGTGTGCGCTCGTTTAACCTCCTTCGAGCTCTCTGATTTTTCTAACACATGTTTGCACTGTCTCTTTGAGCGAGGGGAACAATAAGCTAGTTTTGAAAAGACTGAACTCCATTTTGAGGTCAGTGGGGATGCTGTGAATTCCTCCACTGGCTCCAGAAAGATCTGTTCTGAAAAAAGGCAAGACCTTAGTGTAAAGTTCCTCTAACATAACACTTGTAAAGAAGGAGACCTTCTCAATTACCCTTCCCTAAAATGGTTTAAATTTGCAGAAGAAGAAAAAAGCCAACCCAAGGCATTGCTGTTAGGTTTGAATGGGCTCGGATCTGACCCTGCAGCAGGATGCTAAGACAGTAAATTGCACAGGAGGAGACTGCCCCTCTTTCTAACATGGGTCTTGTGTTGGATTAGAGCTGCCAGAAAGGTGTGACTCTGGGGTTTGCAGTGAAACGCACTACATACTATGCCACCAGCTGGTGGTGTTACATGCCTTTGAGTTGAAACTAACCCATAGCTAACCCTCCCGTGGGTTTTCAGAGGAAGTAAATCGCAGCAGAGGAGACTGTCCATCCTTCTTCTGTGGAGCAGCTGCTGGATTTGAACCATGTACCTTTGAGTTGGCAGCATAGTCCTATACCACTAGGTCACCAGAGTTCCCCTAAAATAAAAGTGAATTATTGTGAATCAACTATTCCATGCATAGCTGTTCAGCCTGGAGGTTTGTTTTGGCTCCAAGACCTTTGCATAATCCTTTGTAGCCACTTTATAATCACATGATAGATTATACTCTTCTATGTTTATATGTAAGGGTTCTCTGGTGGCCTAGTGGTAAGAAGTTGTGCTGCCAAACCTAAGACACATGGTTCGAATCCTCCAGTTGCTCCACAGGAGAAGGATGGGAAATCTCTTCCTGTGTGAGCTGCAGCTTCTGAAAACCCACCCAAGGGTCTACTATGACTCTACTGACAACAACATATTGTCTTTATTATTTCTATATTTTAGCAAGAATTACATTGATAATACTTGTGTATTTGCTACCATAAGACTGTTGATCTCCATGACTGCAGATACAATGCTTTTATTCTGAAAACAGTGTGTTTTAAAACCTATCTAGTTCAATGTACCTACCCACTGGGAAGAAGAAACAGACTCATCAAATTAAGTGATTTCTGGATGTTGATTGATTGTCAGTCAGTCATTTAAAGGTGCTGACCCGACTCCAGCCAGCAGAATTACATATGGTCTCTGCCTTGGTTATACTGTTTCTGAGACAGAGGTAAAAGCTCGGAGGCACCCTAGTTAATAGAAGTATAAACAAAGCCTTGAGCATCCTGTATGTGTGGGAAGTCCCTGGGGCTCTTTCACACTTATTTATCTGCTCCAAAGAGCAGGACATTCCCTTCAGGCTGTCTGTGTCCCCAGTGCTCCCACTAAGCCCAGAGTGAGAAATGCCCCTCAAGACAGATATGGTGCCCAAGACCTTTTGTTTACGCAGAAGCCTTGTATGTTAATTCACAAGCTTGAAGCCCACTCACCTTGGCTTCAAATCATAGTTCCTGTCTTTCTTATTCCATCCCTTACCCCTCTGTGTATCACCTTTTTTACATGGAATGAGGCTATCTACCTCACAGATGGAATGAAACTATTCATGAAAAGTGCCTGGCATCCTGCTCAGTTAATCAAATTCCCTTTCCTTCAGGAAAATTTAGAGGAGGTTCTGGTCTCTGGAGCCCACTTGGTGCTGTGCTTACTTGTGATAGAGTGGATCATATGACGTCTCCTAGTTGGTGAAGCCAAGTTGTGCCAAGAAATCTGGAGAACGACCACTTGGCCAACTGACTGGAAGAGATCGATATTTGTTCCTATCCCAAAGAAAGGCGACCCAACCGAAT